AAAATATATACAAAGTAAAAGCTTAACTTTAGAAAAAAAAATTAAAAAACAAACAACATTTCGGATATCACTTACAGGTATTAGATACATAAATGAATGGTGTTAGACAGAAAAATAAAAACAACATTATTTTATTTTTATTTTTTATTAAATATATTTTTATAATATTTGGCACTTTGTTGTATACATTACCAGAGCTGAGTGTATTAAAACTTAATTAAACATGTAAGAATTAAGTGTTACTTAGCGGAAGTCCATTTCATTACTTAATGTTTTATTTTGTTTAATTCCGCTATCATTAGCATGTGCGGAATCCTAACCATTGCGGAACTGTCGATCAGCATTCTAAACTACATTGAAACTTCATTATCTGATGATGTCCCGTTTAGAGAAACACATCTAGTAACATGGGTGTAGACTTAATGACTATCGGAATTTGATCACTAATAGGTCGTAACGCTTCCAGTAGCGGTGGTCAGGTTTCCGCACTAAATATTTGTGGTCTCACACATGCTAACGGTAACGGAATTAAACAAAATAATATAAATACATTGAGTAACTAATTATGTACTATACTAAGCTGTAAATTAATACTAATATTATAAACATTAAAATTAAAATTAGTCTTTAGTTTACATACTTTAGTATTTTAAAATTCATATTAAAATAGAAACTGGAATTAATAAATGTTCAAGTTAATTATAAATAAATGATATCATACATATAATAAAATTATTTAAGGACATTATCATCAAAGAAACAGCCTGTAACTTTAATACAAAATTTAATTCCCATACCGATGTATGAAATATAAAGTCAGTAAGTATAATTAGTAAATCACGAGATCTTACCACGTTTTATTTTTGTTAAGTTTGATGAATATCGAGTTCCAATAGTAGCAACAAACGAAGACGTGTGAAGGTAGACGAATATGTCTGCCCATAAAAGATTTATTTACCTTCTATCCGCTGCTCTTCAGTTTACCCGTGATCATGGCCGTTGAAACACTACCTAAATATCGGGAACTTAATAAAACGTGTTTTTTTTTTAATACTATGATGGTGGCAATCAAGCATACGGCCCATCTGATGGTAAACGGTTAACGTAGCCTATGAATGCCTGAAACCCGTAAGATGATGTCCCGTGGTAAGATCCCGTGATTTACTATAAAGAATGACCGTATCAAACATAAAACAGTATATAAAGTTAGTACTTTCATAATTATTATTATTTACAAGTTCTCAGCTATGGTACTGGACAGTTATATTATATTATATAAGCTTTTTAACAATTTTAAAACTCTTCAAGCATAACTTTATTATAGTAATTATCTCATTTGAACAATTTATCTTTTATTCTTACTTAGAATTATTATTCTTTAGATTAAATTGCGTATAGGCACTATATTTTTATTTTATCATAATTTCCAGTTATCGTTCTCCGTAAAAAGAAACGGTTATTAATTAATCGGTTTATCGGCAAAAATCGATAATTTTAGGAATTATAATCGATTTTTCCACTATCAATTATTTTACCACAACCGTAATTTTTTGGCGTTGCTTCGGTTATAAAAAACAGGAATATTATTACATTTTATGGAATTAGGTGTGATTTTGTGGAAGTTTATTTCATTACTCAATGATAGCGGAATTAAACAAAATAATATTACTTTATTTTGTTTAATTACGCTACCATTAGATCACTTGTTATTTTTAGCACCACATAGACTCTTTTTCTTAAATCCATTTAATGAAAAAAAATCATTATTCTGTATTCTATTTTTAGTAATAGAATTATGTTATCTGTGGTAATAGTTTGACATATTTGTCTGTTTCTACTCGTCATAACTGTAATAGACCTGTAAGAATTATAGATAATTTTTTTTTACAGTTACCGTATTTCATATAACGTATTTAACAAAAAAAATACGTTTAACATATAAATCTTATATATAATAAAATCCTTTTAGAATACAGAAATAAATAAACTATGTACTACAAATAGTAAAGTCTATAATAGTGTCAAATTAATATTTTCTGTATCACTCCCAAAGTCCAGGATTTTTTTGTACCTTATATTGTAAGGAGAAAGTGTAACATCATATTGTACCATAAAGAAATAAGCTTTTATTTATTTGAAATTATAAACAGACACTACAATTTTATTTATTTGTATGTTATATGTTATATGATATTTCTATCTGAAATGATAATAATTTTTATAATAACGTCTTTTACCAAATAAAACTTAATATTTTTACCTTTGATTACAATTTACATTTCAAAGAAATTTCATTCTTCATATACCAAATGTTAGATCTATTAGTGGAAATAAACCTATTATATATATATTCATAAATGGGGACAATTTTCTCGTAAATCTAGAAATGTTAGCGCAAATATAATTTTAATGATTCAATTCAAAATAACCTTCATATAATGTCAGATATATAAATAATTTATATTATATCATACTAGCTACTCGACCCGGCTTAGCACGGGTGTACATGTATTATATATAAACCTTCTTATATAATCGCTCTATCTATTAAAAAAACCGCTTCAAAATCCGTTGTGTAGTTTTAAAGATTTCAACATACATAAGGACAGACAGCGACAGCGACTTTATTTTACACAAAAATGTATACCGCCATCTATACATTGGCAAAAGAATAAATAAATAAATATACTAATATTATTAATCTGAAGAGTTTGTTTATTTGAACGCGCTGATCTCAGGAACTACTGGTTCGAATTGTAAAATTCCTTTTGAGTTGTACAGTCCATTTATCGAGGAAAGCTTTAAGCTATATAACGATAGCTTAAAGCCTTCCTCAATATTTGTAACTTTGTATAAATTTCACCACTACTCTAAACAAATTTGCAAGATTATATAATTATTGTCTTAAGTAAACTGTGATTAACGTCGTTGGTGAGATGATATATAAATATCTATCATCTCATCACACATTGTATGTATATATAATATTGTATTACTGTTTGTTAGCCCTAAATAAATTAAAAAAAAAATAACATTACGCTACGACAAATTCGAGCCGAGCTGCAGTGAAAAATATTGCAAAAATTGCAATATGAAAAGCAGACGAAGTTACGCGGGTCATCTAGTTTATAATATTGGTACGGATTATTCTTAAAATATAGGTATATCAAGTTTTTTTTTCGGACTACTCTAATGCTGTTGGCCACAGCTTCACCGGACGATAGGGGGTGAGTGCAGATGGCACTAAAAACCAAGGAAGGACTTATGGAGCGGCTGTAGGCCAACTCCCGCCTGACTGATACGACTTTAGTCTGAGGTCACCGCTAGGGTTTTTTTTTTAAATCCAATTTTCCACAGACATATTCGTCCGTGCCTTTTTTAATTTACTTTAATATTATTATATTTCTTTAATTTCCACTTTTGTACAACTCCAGCCGAGATGTTACAATTTGCCTATCAGTGGCACCGAGGCAGACCTTATCCGTCTGGCCCAGAACCACCGCTGGCCGGCCGGGTGAGTTGACAACATGCAGTATCACCTATCTTTATTAGGAGCCAGTTACATTTACCAATATGCATACACAATTATATAAATCTTACACTACTACTAATTTCACAGTTTTCATTACATTGTGTTGTATTGTTACATTATGAATTCTTACACTGCATATACAATTATATGAAATCTTATTTTAACATTATTTTCAAAGTTCACTATTTGTTATAGTCCAGGTTTTGTTTAATTATTGATTGTTTAATTTCACAGTGCACTTTTTGTCGTAATTATATTTTTATAAGGGATTTTTTTTTTGTGACCGCTACCGCTAGGGGTTCGAACCTCGTCTCAGGCCGTCGTAACATCGGTCCCCGTTTGAATTGGACGGGGTTCGATTGGAGGGAACATATCAAGTATAAGTATTCCTCGTTGACAATACCTCTGACTACTTCATTTGTAATGATAGCCGTGAAGATGTAACATTTATTTATCATATTATCATGGTACTATTATAATTATCTATACATATAAATAAAATTGGAATGTCTGTTTGTAACATTGAAATAACCGTTTTTTACTACATGCATCTGAATATAAATATGGTACACACACCAAAATATCATTTTTTACTATTTTTGTCTGTCTGTCTGTTTGTTCCGGCTAATCTCTGAAATAGCTGGATCGATTTTGATGGAACTTTTTTGGCATGTAACTGATGTAATAAGGAGTAACTTAGGCTACTTTTATTTTAGAAAAATAAAGTTAAATTCCATGCGGACGAAGTCGCGGGTACAGCTAGTTATTGAAATCCATATTATCACGCATCTATTAAATTGTATATATTTATATATACTCTATAGGTATACTTAATAATTAAATTTCTTTCAGAAATTATTATGACAAATACATGTATATAATATAATTATAATATTCATATAGTAATAGACTAGTAATATATCACAAGATTGGCACATAAATTTCATTTCGATTTCCTCACCTAATTCGATTTGAAATTTCATAGCTATAATATTTTATTATGATTACACATCAAGAAATTCCAAATTGCAACTTTTATTAGATTTTTATTGCAATATAATTTTAATTTAATCATATTTTCAACAGCCAATAAAATAGTTTGTTACATTAAATGAGATTAATCCACGTGAATAAATTAATAAAATGGAAATCGAGTATCCCATTATTCAAACTTCCAGCAAATAATTCTCGAAATTCAAACTCGTTTCAATTTAAAATTTAAATATAGAATTATAAATAACTGAAATCGATTCTAAATTTGAAAATTACAACGATAATTTCAAAATTAAATTTAATGATATCTTTAGAATAATATTTTGAATTTGGAATATAATTAACATGTAAATTATATTTGATACTCTTTTTTTAGAACAATATTTTGAATTTGGAATGTATTTAACGTGTAAATTATATTTGATACTCTTTTTTAGAATAATATTTTGAATTTGGAATGTAATTAATGTGTAAATTATATTTGATACTCTTTGTAATTCCAATTCCATATTTTGTTCACGCTGTTGTCGTATACAGGATCGGCAGGATGCGTAACTGGCAGGTCACCCTGTGTAAAAAAAAAAACATTTAAATATCTAGTTTTATCGATATAGAATTTATACAAAGTATGAATACCGAGATAAGACTGAGGCGAGACAGCGATCTGTCTTATCTCACTTTTATCCTTTCCAATTATAGAAAAAATCAATACTGTTACTACTGTATTATGATTCATGAACCAACGAATAAGCATTAGAAAGTTTTTACTTTAGGTATACCACACAGAAAATTATTTAATTATTTAAAACATTAATATAATAATTTTGCATGTTTCAACAATCCAATTTGCATTAGGTACCATTCAAAGGAATTTGTAATGAAAGGAAAAACCTACAACGTTCTGTTAATTACGAGAGTTGTATAATTATTTCTATATTTAGTTTTTAAATTAATGTAACCACATTAATATTAAAAAATTGAATAGTTGAGAGTATAAGTACTGCACTATGTTAATGTAACTGTAATGTGGACTCCATTTCCGCAATTAGCCTTTTATTTGGGCCGTTGTTCGTGTAGAGATCAGGAGGAGGTAGCTTCAGATCAGAGAATCCAGATCAGCGAGTAGAGTAGATTTGACATATATGAATCGAAATACTTTATCGAAATTCATCATCATCTGCTTCTTCCTTATCCCATTTATTTGTGGTCGTCGTAATATGTTTTTCTCTTCCATTCATCCCTGTTCGCAGTCATCGCGTTATTTACTTCCTTTCTTACCATATCATACGACATAAAATATTAATTAACTTTATGTCTACATGTAAATTAAAACTGATATCCTTGTTTTAAGAAGGAGCTGACTCCTGATATACAGTTCACGCTAGTTTGGGAGTTAGGACTGCATCAAACTGTACACTGATTTTATATATTACTAGCTTTTCGCCCCGGCTTCGCATGGGTGTACATGTACTATACATATAAACCTTCCTCTTAAATCACTCTATCTATTAAAAATAACCGCTTCAAAATCCGTTGCGTAGTTTTAAAGATTTAAGCATACATAGGGACTGACAGCGACAGCGACCTTGTTTTATACTACATATGTAAGACTAGCTACTCGCCCCGGCTTCGCACGGGTGTCCATGTATTACATATATAATAAACCTTCCTCTTGAATCACTCTATCTATTAAAAAATCCGTAATTTTAAAGATTTAAGCATACATATTGACGGACAGACAGCGACAGCGACTTTGTTTTATACTATATAATGACAAGCTGTACAGGTTTTACTATGTATCTAATAATTTCTATCATAAGTCCGCCTTTTGTAGCATCCCACGACTCGATATTCCTCTCAAATTCAAATTTAAAATCAAAATACATATTCTCCAGACTGTGGTGGTGGTGGTGTGGTGGTGTGATTACAGTTGTATTATTAAGAAATCTTAATATAAACAATAATTTAAAATCCATAAAATTCAAAATTCTAAATATCTTTATTCATGTAGGTCTATTACAGACTCTTATGATATGTCAAATCTACCGTCAGTTCGGAATGATTTCGAGATGAGAAGAACTGACAAGAAACTCAGCTCGTATTCTTTTCAAATAAATGTTGTACATGTTTGCAATAATACAGATACATTTAAGTTCAAATTTGGGAGAACAGAGTGACCACCAGCATATGCTACTGCCAAAACAAAAAATCTAATCAGTGTTCGTAACCTGAACAGACCAGTCCCCACAGCACCGTTCACGAGTATGACCTATTTTTTTTTTTTTATTGGATTGTTTGGGCTATTGTCAGATGTGTAGCACCTGTAGCACTGCGACCTACACAGATCTATTGTGCTCGCCCTTTTCAAAGAGTATGACCTATGGAATGTAAACATAAAATGTAAGCAGTTATAGCATCTATATATTCGTCTTTGTGCATAAGTACGTAACTTAGAAAATGAGCAAAACATAAGCAACTAAGCTACAAGTTTACAAGTTGGACGTTTAGACGCCATATTGCAGTTCGCATCTCAGGAACCCTGCGATCCTGTCTTATGTTTTTTATAAACTTTCAGAATTACATTAGAATACTTGTAAGTTTGATATTAAAGAATTCTTCATGTTATAATATCACTAGCTACTCGCCCTGTCTTCGGGTGTACATGTATAAACCTTCCTCTTGAATCACTCTATCTATTAAAAAAACCGCTTCAAAATCTGTTGCGTAGTGTTAAAGATTTATGCATACATAGGCGTACATAGCGACAGCGACTTTGTTTTATACAATGTAATGATTACCCACAACAACATTCATTTTAAATTTAGTTTTTTATATGATGAAAATGTTACAAATAGCAGCCTAACAGATAATATACGGTAACCGTTGCCTTTCATAATTCAAATCAAAATATCTTTATTCATGTAGGTATATTACAGACTCTCATGATATGTCAAATCTACCGTCAGTTCGGAATGATTTCGAATTGAGAAGAACTGAAAGGAAACTTAGCTCGTATATAAAATGGCATAATAAGTAATATTATTATTAAGTATTTGTATTAATTCTTTATTAATACAAATTATTATTGTATAGTTTCGTTTTGTGTGTGTAAAAATTAAGCTATGCAACTATGCATATTATATCTACATCTAGTGTGATGTATCACTTAAATACATAGTTTATATTATCTGTGTAACGTTATGTACTCTGTAAGACATCCAGTTTTGTAGACGTAATAAATAAATAAAAAGCACTACGGACATCAAATATATAAGTTACACTCGCAATACCACTCATGCGTTGCCATTCATCTCACAATGATATTCATGAATCTACTTATTTGTATTGCGAGGAATCGAACCCACGACCATCGAAAATAAGGTGTCATAAACCTCTAAACCACTGAGGTTATCAGGGTCATAAATGAGTTCTGAGTTAATGAGATTTATGAGGATTATAAATTAAAAAAATATGTATGTATGGATACAGCAGTGCAACAGATAAAATATCATTAAAAAATAAACTTACATTAGCTATTTTCTTCAATTCTCCAAGTTTCTCCACCTTATGCGGTATATCACCAGGTATGTTGGCCTGTGCTCCAGGATCCAAGTTCAAGGGTTCATACTCATCAGAAACTCCGCTATCTGGAGAATCTGGTATTTGGACGGAATTCTCGTAACCTTTTGGACCAACCCTGCTTTTGTGGACGCAGTAGTCCCCTGTGAAAGGGTTTTGATACGCTACCACTGTTCTGTAAACAAAGCATGAATAGAATAGAATAGAATAGAACAGAATAGAACAGAACAGAACAGAACAGAACACAACAGAATAGAATAGAATAGAATAGAAAATAATTTATTCAAATAAACTTAATTTATGTACTTTTGAATAATGAAGAATCACTATTAAATTTTAAATCTATCTATAAAATTTTGTCGTAACAAAATTTAATAGATAAAGTGATTCAAGAGGAAGGTTTATATATATAATACATGTACACCCGTGCGAAGCCAGGGCGAGTAGCTAGTTAATATTATAAACGCGAAGTTTGTGACATGTTTGTTAGTCTTTCACGCAAAAACTACTGAACGGATTTTAATGCAACTTTACAATAACATATCTTTTACATCAGAATACACGTAGGCTATAAACATCACTCGAGTAAAACCGCGGGCACAGCTAGTATGAAATAATAATACAAATATGAGTGTAAATTGTCTGTGTGATCACGGCACTGGTGGCGGTGGTGGTTCTGCCACGGTAGCACCGATACACCACACCCTTCGGCCAGTAGTCCTCCTTCATGAAGGTGGGCAGCATGTTGGTGGGGACACGGGCCATAAACGCCTTGAAACTCGCGTTGTGACCCCACTCCAACTATTATGGTACACTTAAAATTTTAAGTTTGTTTTTGTTAGGGAAAATACTCTCTGCTACCAAAATGTTAGGGAAAGTACTATGTATATATATAGGGAGAAATATGTGTGGAAACGTCAGTCATTTACCTTTATGGTTCTGCGGATTTCTTGGGCTTCAGGGTCTCGAAGATATCTTCGCTAGCTTTCCAGTTTCACAGTAGGTTTCACAGTAGTTTTCACAGTTCTAATTTATTTTAATTCACAACACAATGCGCGCGCGCGTCAAGGCCGCTGTACGGTCAGTTCAGTACTGAGCAAGGGAGGGGAAGGGAACGCGCGGGAACAGAAACTAACGGGCTCTAATATAATAATCTGTGCTTACGATGATACAGGGTAGATTTTGAACAGTTTTATATAAATCGGTTAACAAACAAAAAAGTTATACAAGCTCGCGGGCTTACCTAGTTTTTTAGACTACTCTAATGCTGTTGGCCGCAGCTGACCTTTACAGCTTCACTGGACGATAGACGAGTGCAGATGGCTCTCCAAACCAAGGAAGGGCCTATGGAGCGGCTGAAGGCGAACTCCCGCCCGACGGATACGACTTTAGTCTGAGGGCACCACTAGGGCTTCGAACCTCGACATAGGCCGTCGTAATTTTGATCCCCGTCTGAATTGGGGATCGATCGGATGGGTCTTAGCTAGGGTATAAATGGATAGAGAACAATACATACCGCAACTGTTCAACAGTTTCTCCTTCTCTCTTGTGGGAGAATAAAACTTTGGTCGGCCGTAATAATACACCAATCTGAAACAAACCGTAATATATATAATAGTAACTAGCTGTCACGGCAAACGTTGTTTTGCCTTAAAATAAAATAAAAATTTCGGGGTGGACTACCCCTAACATTTAGGGGGATGAAAAATAGATGTTATTTTTCATCCCCCTAAATGTTAGGGGCCGATTCTCAGACCTACTCAATACGCTCACAAAATTTCATGAGAATCGGTCAAGCCGTTTCGGAGGAGTATGGGAACGAAAACTGTGACACGAGAATTTTATATATAAGATAATATTGTGAATTCCATTTAAAGTAAAACGAGATCAACGTCGTTCTTTTTTCGAGTTCACGCTGAACTCCGTTTACTTGAACGTGTTTATACTACGATTGGTGAAATCCTTCTTCAGATTTTATCAGCATTATACAGATCGCGTTTATCAAAATGAAGTTTAGATTTTCATTCGTTCACAGTGTTACATGCTTATAAAGTGATATTTGATGCAATGGGTAATTTAACTAAAATAATTCTAAGAAATATTTGTAATTCAATCATGTGATAATTTGGATAAGTATTTTAGTGTTTAATTTAATAAGTACCGCCGACTACAAAATATATAACAACAACCTATACCTGTAAACAAGGTAAAACATTATTTTATTATAGATTTTTTTAAACTACTGCCATTTTTTTTTATACCCGATATTATATTGTCAAAAATTTGATTGATGACTGATTGACAACTGACAGCTGCTTTAAACACGTTTAAAGAGTTAACTGTAGGAAATCAGACGTTAAAAATTTATAAACGTGTTTAGCGAAATTTGTAGTGGTGAAATGCAAAATGAAGCTTTGAACACGTTTTAATGGCGTTCAGTTCGAACTAAACGCGATCAGTTTCTTTGGTGAAATCTGACGTTAGAGAGATAAGTTTTTAATGAACATACCTGTCCATTCCGACGTAGTCCGTACACACGGTAGAAGCAATAACCACATGTGAACAAACTTAGGAACAACTGAAACAAATTTCATAAAAATATATTTCGCAATTTGCTTGCGGAACAATCAATAGAGCAAGAGCCCACGACGGCCAGACATACGTCATATTAGTAAACGTGGAAGTTCTTGTATGTCTGTCCCCAACACAGGTAAGAACGATCCCCAAACATGAAACCTGGATCGTGGTTCCTTTGACAGGTAACAGGTAACAAAGGTGTAAAAAATTTCATATCAAATTCGTTATTTTAAGAAACTCCATATTTTCATATATTGTTCGTAGCATTATTATAACTTGCGCTGCTCATTGCCAGACACTTAGTGTGGTTCCAATCCCCCGCCGGACCCCCCTAAACTATACTATTTTAGAAATAAACTTACGTCATTTTAATAAAGCTGAAATTTATATATATTATTGAGAGTTCTCTAAAACTGAGTTTCCTAAATTGCCAGACAGTTTTCTTGGTTCCTTATCCTACCAAACTCATTGAAACCGTGTATTGGGTAACAACGGTGTATTCAATTTCATATCAAATTCGTTATTTTAAGATGCTCCATTTTTGCACATATTGCTCGTAACAGTATTATAACTTGCTTTGCTCGTTGCCAGACCCTTAGTGTGGTTCCAACCCCCCGCCGGACCCCCTAAACTGTACTATTTTAGAAATAAACTTACGTCATTTCAATAAAGCTGAAATTTATATATATTATTGAGAGTTCTCTCAAACTGAGTTTCCTAAATTGCCAGACAGTTTTCTTGGTTCCTTATCCTACCAGACTCATTGAAACCGTATATTGGGTAACAACGGTGTATACAATTTCATATCAAATTCGTTATTTTAAGATACTCCATTTTTTCACATATTGCTCGTAACAGTATTATAACTTGCTCTGCTCGTTGCCAGACCCTTAGTATGGTTCCAATGAGTCTGGTAGGATAAGGAACCAAGAAAACTGTCTGGCAATTTAGGAAACTCAGTTTGAGAGAACTCTCAATAATTCATATAAATTTCAGCTTTATTAAAATGACGTAAGTTTATTTCTAAAATAGTATAGTTTAAGGGGGTCCGGCGGGGGGTTGGAACCACACTAAGTGTCTGGCAACGAGCAGAGCAAGTTATAATACTGTTACGAGCAATATGTGAAAAAATGGAGCATCTTAAAATAACGAATTTGATATGAAATTTTATACACCGTTGTTACCCAATATACGGTTTCAATGAGTCTGGCAGGATAAGGAACCAAGGAAACTGTCTGGCAATTTTGGAAACTCAGTTTAATAGTTCTCTCAATAATATATATAAAGTTCAGCTTTATTAAAATGACGTAAGTTTATTTCTAAAATAGTATAGTTTAGGGGGGTCCGGATTGGGGGGTTGGAACCACATAAGTGTCTGGCAACGAGCAGAGCAAGTTATAATACTGTTACGAGCAATATGTGAAAAAATGGAGCATCTTAAAATAACGAATTTGATATGAAATTGTATACACCGTTGTTACCCAATATACGGTTTCAATGAGTCTGGCAGGATAAGGAACCAAGGAAACTGTCTGGCAATTTAGGAAACTCAGTTTAATAGTTCTCTCAATAATATATATAAAGTTGAGCTTTATTAAAATGACGTAAGTTTATTTCTAAAATAGTATAGTTTAGGGGGGTCCGGCGGGGGGTTGGAACCACACTAAGTGTCTGGCAATGAGCAGCGCAAGTTATAATAATGCTACGAACAATATATGAAAATATGGAGTTTCTTAAAATAACGAATTTGATATGAAATTTTTTACACCTTTGTTACCTGTTACCTGCCAAAGGAATCACGATCCAGGTTTCATGTTTGGGGATCGTTCTTACCTGTGTTGGGGACACACATACAAGAACTTTCACGTTTACTAAAATGACGTATGTCTGGCAGTCGTGGGCTCTTGGGCTACAACACTAGGCCTTCAACTTATGTATAACCAATCTTTACTGAATATCTGATGCTGCCATAGTGCTATCTATCTATCAACACACAGCCCAAACCACTGGACGGATCGGGCTGAAATTTGGCATGCAGGTAGATGTTATGACGTAGGCATCCGCTATTTCTTAGTGGTTGCTTATGTCATAACTTGAATTTTGATTAATTCTACCCACAAGGGGATGAAAGTTTGCATGAAACTTTGTCAAATTTAAAGCCATCGGGCTGAGACTTTGCGCATAAATCTACTATGACGTAGGCATCCCCTAGGATTTTGATAAATTCCACCATTTCAAGGGTACAAATTAACGCGAGCGAAGCCGCGGGCAAAAGCTAGTTTGAAATATGAATACTAAAATTGTTCTGTTTGATGACAGAATAAGGCTGCAAAATGACACATCTCCAATTCATCCCCAGGATGACGTAAGAACTAGGTCTATTGGAACAAAGCAAAACTACAACTCAAGACATTTAAAAAAACGTATAAGAATATCATGAAAATAAAAAATATGAAGACATGGCTGTATGGGCGCAGTTCCCTTTCTGATAAACAAAACCCAAAAAAAAAAATGCAAAACTACATCGATACAAAAGCAAAAAAAACTAAATTAAATGCTATACCAAACCATGTGGCCAGTACGTTAAATACTGTCCAACTTTGAAACAATAATAGATTATTACAATGAGAATAATAGTTTTACAAACTGTATTAAATACATAAGTTTCTAATAAGTTTCTTGCAACATTTCAAACAAACTCATCGTCAGACAGATTAAGTAAAAGCACATAGTGAAGTTAGATTATAAATTACTGGCTACTCGCCCCGGCTTTGCACGGGTGTACATATATTATACATATAAATCTTCCTCTTGAATCACTCTATTTATTAAAAAAACCGCTTCAAAATCCGATGCGTAGTCTTAAAGATTTAAGCATACATAGGGACGGACAGACAGCGACAGGGACTTTGTTTTATACTATGTAATGAAATGAAGTAAATAATACTTACCAATATACCCAGAAGTACATAATCCACATAAATAATCATATTAACACCACTGACCATTTCTAAATCAACATATCTTTAATATTTTTATAAAAGCAGCTCCGAAACATCACATCGTGTTATGAATTTTCCGCGACTTTCTTATTCTCAACTGCATTGCATATAATTGGTCAATTACAAAGTTTTCTTGCATTTCTATTGGTTAGAATTCTAAATGCTGGGATCTTATTCGTAGATCGGATGAGACATTTCGGTGAAACCAATGGGGTATGGCCGGAGACTGGGGATAAAACGTCTGCAGTATCGGTGTCATAGATTAAGCATTGGATCCGCTTAGTTTGTTTACCTACGACCTTCTTATATGCTTTAGTTGTCTACACCAATATTATAAAGAGAGAGAGAGAGAGAGAGAGAGAGAGAGAGAGAGTAGATTTTGTCACGAGAAAAGTAAAACCCACTGCACTTAAATAAATTCAATACGATAGTGTTTTTTCCTGATAACTCTAGCAATAAAATTATAGAATACTAGCCTTGCCCGCGGTTTTATCCGGATGAAATTTATAGCCTATGACTGTGTGTTATTCTGATGATGACAGTTTTTGATGAAACTTTACAGTAATATACCTTACATACCTACCTTGTTCGGTAGTTTTTGCATGAAAGACTCAGAAACATCCATCCATACTCACAAACTTTCGCGTTTATAATGTTAGTAAGGTAAGAATAGCTGTGGCCGCGGTTTCATCTGCATGAAATCTTTGTATTATTCTGATTATATGGTATATTACTATGAAATTTCATAAATTCCATTTGGTAGTTTTTGCGTGAAAGAGTAACAAACATCCATCGATCCATCTTTCCAGCCTTACTCTCAAACTTAAGTATTTATAATATTAATAATATATAAAAATGTCATTTGGTCCTCCGAAATAGAAAACCATGAGTGATATCACGGGCGTTACATGATAGCGTGATTACCATAGCAATATTTATATATTTAGACGAGTTTCTAAGGACAAAGGTTTTTTTATTTTATTAATCGGGTCTGAACTAATTTTATGGCAAATAAAGGTGTTGCCGATGGCAACCTTTTTGATAGTTTTTATGTTTTTTATATATATTTGAATTTTATATTTTGACGTTCTGTTTTTGATATACCGTTTGTTTTCTTATACCATACTGATGTCTATATATTTTTGCTAGCGAGCTGATTACATCTATTTTACCTCACCTAGGAACGGTCATTTTTAACCAGCCCTAATACAGTCCTTGCTTCCTTCCTCAACAAAAGGTTTCGACTAGGTTGCACTAGCCGTGGTCACGAGCTGACTGACTCAGTCACCACGTCTAATAATTAGTTCGTGTTAAGACTCGGTTAATAATATAAATCAGTATAATTAGTTTTATCCTTATTATGATAATTTTTTTTTAAATACTATTTTCCACAGACATATTCGTCCGTGCCTTTTTTACTTAGAAATAGAAATAGAAATAATCTTTATTCAAATAAACTCATTACAAGCACTTTTCGGAATGCAGATAAATCACAAGAAGAATGAGCAAGAAACTTGTGTGTTGCTCTTTTTAATAGATGTTTTTTTTTTTATACAAATAACTACAGTATAACAAGTAAGAGGTATGCGATAATCAACATAGAAGTCGCTACGCACTCATTATTAATGTAATCAGATAATATTGTCAGTGCTATAGATTTAAAGTTTTTCTATAAAAACATTATTATCGTTAACGAATTCTTCAATTTTATAGTAATCTTTTTTGCAAAGGAACTGTTTTATTTGACATTTAAATCTTTTTCTGGCAGATTTATAACAGACTCTGGTATTTTATTGTAAAACCTTACGCAATTGCCGTAAAATGAATTACTAACTTTAGCCAAACGACATTTAGGTAAAATCAGTTTGTTATTGTTACGTAAGCTTTTATTAGTGCAATCACTAATTCTTTTGAAACTGTCTATATTCCTTCTGGCATATATGATATTTTCATAATTGTATTGAGAAGCTTTTTAGAGAATTTACTTTGATATTATTATATTTATTTAATTTCCACTTTTGTACAACTCCAGCCGAGATGTTACAATTTGCCTAACAGTGACACCTAGGCAGACCTTATCCGTCTGGCCCAGAACCACCGCTGGCCGGCCGGGTGAGTTGACAACATGCAGTGTCACCCATCTTTATTAGGAGGATTAGATTTACCAATATGCATATACAATTATATAAATCTTACACTACTACTAATTTCACAGTTTTCATTACATTGTGTTGTATTGTTACATTATGAATTCTTATTATGAACATTAAATGCCTAAGTTGTCGCATCTGTAACAATGTATAATCTATGCGAACCCGGGACGCTTGGCGCCAACATTGTCGCGACGTCTGTCGCCATTCAGATTCCAGCCTATACTTTGGTTTTAAAAACAAAGCGAGCAATTGTAACCTTTATTTATAACTTAGCTACCTACCGCGGCTTCGCTCGGGTGTACATGTATTATATATAATACATTTCAAACAAACACATCGTTAGACAGATTAAGTAAAAGCACATAGTGAAGTTAGGTAATAAATTACTGGCTACCCACCCTGGCTTCGCACGAGTGTACATATACATATAAACATATAAACCTTCCTCTTGAATCACTCTATTAAAAAAAACGCTTCAAAATCCACTGCGTAGTAAAGATTTAAGCATACATAGGGGCGGACAGCGACAGCAACTATGTTTAGTCACTACATAGTATATATGTAGTGACTAGCTTTTACCCGCGGCTACGCTCGCATTACTCATTACTGGCTGGTAGACGGCGCTGAAGTAGCAAAATGTTGATATTTATTTAAGTTTTGTTTTTTGGAAATAAACTAGCATTTACATAACCTAATTGTACAACTAAGAACCTAAAATTAAAAAGCTTAAAAATATATAATATGATGACTAAAATATATTATTAAAAGGGGTCCCTTTAGGCAACGTTCCGAAGATACTGGCAGCGTTCCCTCTTTGAATAGCTAGACTAATTCTTTGTCCAAGGTTTTGTTTTTTATGTACAATATTTGTTTTTTCTTTAAATAAAAAGTATCAATGTTCATTCTAATACCTCCAAGAACATGTGTACAAAATTTCATGATAATCGGTTCAGTAGTTTTTGCGTGACAGCGTAACAAACATCCCTACTTTTACATTTAGAATATTAGTAAAGATTTAGAAGCTAATGTACAATTCAAAAGTGCTTAAATTTAAGTTTATTTGAATAAACAATTTTCAAAGAGCAACACACAAGTTTCTTGCTCGTTCTTCTTGTGATGAGACAGCTTTCCGAATGAGCGGTAGATTAAAAAAATGTGATGACTATTCAAAAGTGCTTCTATGTTTGTTTGAATGAATGATTTTCTATTCTATTCTATTGATTCGGAATTTCGGAATGCAAAATCTCAGCCCGATTGGTTTAAAAATGACAAAGTTTCATATAAACTTTCATCCCCTATTTTATTCCCTTGGGCTACCCCCAAGGGGATAAAATAGGGGATGATGAATTAATCAAAATTCTTTCTTAGCGGATGCCTACGTCATAACATCTACCTGCATGCCAAATTTCAGCCCGATCCGTCCAGTGGTTTGGGCTGTGCGTTGATAGATCACTATATCAGTCACCTTTGAGTTATATATATTTAGATATATGTGTGTTAAATTATAGAATAAGCCTCGGCTTATTCTATAATTTAACACATTTCGGAAATTCGAAATGCAAAATCTCAGCCCGGTTGGTTTAAAAATGACAAAGTTTCATATAAACTTTCATACCCTATTTTATCCACTTGGGGGTAGAATTAATCAAAATTCTTTCTTAGCGGATGCCTACGTCATAACATCTACCTGCATGCCAAATTTCAGCCCGATCCGTCCAGTGGTTTGGGCTGTGCGTTGATAGATCACTATGTCAGTCACCTTTGAGTTATATATATTTAGATATATGTGTGTTAAATTATAGAATAAGCCGAGGCTTATTCTATAATTTAACACATTTCGGAAATTCGGAATGCAAAATTTCATCCCGGTTGGTTTAAAAATGACAAAGTTTCATATAAACTTTCATACCCTATTTTATCCACCTGGGGGTAGAATTAATCAAAATTCTTTCATCTTTAATTCTTTCATTCATCATCTGCATGCCAAATTTCAACCCAATACGTCCAGTGGTTTGGGCTGTGCGTTGATAGATCACTATGTCAGTCACCTTTGAGTTAGTTAGTTTAGATATATGTGTGTTAAATTATAGAATAAGCCTCGGCTTATTCTATAATTTAACACTTATGCGTTACAAATTATTAAAGTTCTCGAAATTTAAAGATTTGTAATGCATCCGTACCAAGTCGGGACGGAACGTTAGTAAGTTATAAATTATTTTGCACAATCCTTGAAAGTTACGAACTAATATCAACTTGTTTGTACATATTGTATATAAGTTAATAAAGTAAACATTCTCTCCAGTGTTAGGTCTTACTGTAGAAAGGCTTGCTTGTCGGAGTTTGGATCCGCCGTTCAATAAATTGGAAACTTTTCAAAGAACACTTACTTAGAAATTTATTATTCTTTAAATGATTACTTAGCAAAGTTAATGGATTTAATTTTCCAATAATGTTTATAAGGATGATCATAGTATGGTTTTCTGGACTGTACACGGTTTACGCTATCGGGACACCAGAGGAGGATGGAGTCAGGTCAAGGGCGGATCCAGTTTTAGGGTCAGGAGAGAGTCACATAGTCGTTGTCAAGTCAAGAACTTACAATTGAATTTTGATAACAGAAGATGCAAGTAAAAAGTAGGTATCTTATTAATGTACGTAAGTACTGTACTTAAAAATATTTATTCTTTATTGTACATTTGAAAAACTTAACACTTAATAACTTGTACCTATACACGTACATGTTACCATCTTCTCTTGATGACATCCAGAGAAGCACTATTTAAATATAGTTACATAAAATCTGTATGGTGACAAAATGTATAAATAAAATCATTGTATTCAATTAGTGGTCCACCTAAGTCCTGGGCTCAGGGGGGTCATGACCCCCATGACCCCATA